AAATAATGGGTTTGTATGTAAAGGTGCAAGTGATTAACGAAAAAAATCGAAACTCCTGACTGATAATATGAATTTGTAGTAAAATGTCAATATAAAATATTTTAGCGTAACTTTTTGGTTTCCTGAGTTTTGGTACAAAAGTAGTTGTATCAAAAAATTGCTGTTTCGGCCAGAGAACTCAGTTTCTAAATTTCCGAAAATAAATTTAAATTAGTAGGCATACTTTTGTCGCCTTGCCCAAGGACGAAGATTCTCCTCGATAGTTCCAATATTAGAAAACTGGCTCTTGAAAAAAATTTCCATTCGATCCAATATCTTAAAAATATTCATTAGCACTTCATCGAGACATAGTTTTGTTATATAAGTTGCTTTTGAACTCAATAAAATGGAGCACTATTTTTGATGGTGACATTTGTTCCCTTTGAAGTAGGCATTTAATCATACATTGTCTTCTTAGAGCTGTCTCTCGCTGTTATTATAATGAAAGACATGTGGCAGAGAGTAATAGGGGAAGGTAACCCAATCAGAAGGAAACTAAATTGAAATTTTACTTGAGTATTTCGAGTATTTTTTTTCTTATGAATTTCTTAATCTTCTTCATAAATCTTATCAAAAAGTAGTAATTTTTGCAAAAATAAATTTTGGAGTCTACAACTATTTCATTGTATACATTTAGATATACTATACTCCATTACACACAAGGGTTTGCTTGTTGTGTTCTATTTTTCTAAAATAGAGGGAATAATGCTTCTTTTTATTTATTTATTAAAAGAAAATATTAAAATATTCTTTTTTAGCCAAAATAATGAAAATTTAAAATTCCCTGTATGTCATTTTTAAGTCAATTAGAGCATGATGATGGACCAAAAAATACAAAATATGTGTCTTGAAATTTTCCCCTATTTAATCTAATTTTGCTATTATGGGCCACTAAAATTTGGGGCCTTAATGTCCAAATGAAACATTTGCAAGTCTTATATCTTGGAAATCATTCAGAAATCGGATTTTCTCCTGAGAGAAAATTATAGCTATTGTCATACAGAACAACAATTTTTAACTCATAAAATCAGTAAAACTTCGTCTTCAAGGTCAAAATCACAAAGTCAATTTTTCATCAATTTTTTTCGCTTCTAGTATATAGATAAGAAACCGTTTAAATATCAAGCTAATACCAAACTACAAAAATTTATATAATATCCCATTGAACAACTTTATTGAACATATAAAATTTCTAGGAACCGACCTTGAAGTTAACAAATATTAAAAATTCTGACCTTGGAGATGAAGTAAAGGACAAGTAAAAAAGCTGCAAGTTCGGCTGGGCCGATCTTTGAATACCCTCCACCATTTGGAACAAATTTGGCAATTTTCAATAAAAAAAATCGTTAAAAATTCTGTTAAAATCTTAAATATACCGAATGTAGGCATTATATTAGAGTCTATACGACGACTAGGACCTGCATAGGCAACTTTCGTCATGAGCCATTACAATATTAAATTTCGAAACTTGCATAGGCAATTGTCTGTCATATAATGCCATTACGAACTTCAAATACCAAATTTGAAACAATTCCGGTAAATAATGCCGTGTAAATCACAAAATCACTGAAATACCGAAAAAAGTGAGGTACCATTATATGGGGGCTATACCAAAACATGAACCTACATGACCCATTTTCAATACCAAAAGTGCTGCAGACATAATACACATTTGAGTAAAATTTAATCATCCTATTTCATTTCGTGCGGAAGCTAGAGTTATTTTCACATACGGACAGACATATAGACGGACGGGCATCGCTAAATCGACATAGAATTTTATGCTGACCAAGAATATATATACTTGGTGGGGTGTAAAATGTATATTTCAAAATATACAAGCATAAAATACCCTCCATACTATGGCGGAGGGTATAAAAATATGCAGCTTCAAGAAGTTAATTTATTTTCTGCGTTCCATCCTTCTATCCAAATTCCTGACTTTTCTTATCAATCATTTAAATATTTAGGAATTGCCATAAATTTATTTTATATTCTATTAATTTTGAATATATACTCTCTTTGGCTATCCTTCCCTCTCATTTTCAATTCTGTTGGGGGGTTTGTGTCCACATAGTATTTTTTGTACTATTTTTTTCTTTATTTTATTTTTTTGTTTCTAAAGTCAAAGATCACGATTTTTTCATTTCTTGAACCTCTCAAGTCTTAACACTTACGGTTACTCAAAATGTTGCAAATTTTTAGTTCTTTTTGTTGTTGTTGTTGCTGTTTCAGCTTTTTTGCTTTAGCAATAGCTGGCGATGATGATGTGGCGGCGGCTGCTGTTGCTGTAAACTGTAACTGTCCGTCCAGCAGCTGTTCGTGTGTGTCTGTCCTTCCATCTGACTGCCTGTCTATCTATCTCTGTGGTATACACAAATTTTACATATAAAAACACAGCAAGGTTTAGAAAATCCCATAGAAGTGAGACAAAAAAAAATAGTTGTTGCCTTGCATATGCGGGGACATTTAAATGGAGAGTGTGAGCGGGCAATAGCAACAACACCATCAACTAGATACTAGAAGTAACAAGCGTAAAATACTTAAGCACTAAAAATTCTTAGAATTTGAATATTGTGTGAAATAACAACGGCAGCCAAAGACAAAAACTTCAGGAAAAAACAACTGCAGAAAAAATGAAGAAATTCTAGAAAAGCAAAAAAACAAAAAGTATCCAAAGAAAACCATGACTTCTTGCAAAGTCAACGCTGGTCTTCAAAAAGGGATACCTATGCGGAGGCTGGAAAAAAGTGATGATATTTCAATGTACTCATCCAAATACAGTGGGATGCTGTGAACGGGTAGAAAAAATATTTTTGAGATTCCTTTCATCGTTTTATTTAAAAACATCGCTTCCGTATATTCATAAAATTGTCAGATGATCTCCTGGAAATAAATACTTTCAAAATGGTCTTATGCAGATAGGGATCGTCAGATTGTCTGTCTATTGTAGATAGATCTTGAGAAAGAAATCCCATTCGATTCCTATTTTTTAAAAAATCTTCATTAGCATTGCATCGGAACAGCGGTTTGTTATATAATTTCGTTTTGAACTCAAGTTCTATGAGGGATAATAAAACGGAGCCTCTTCGTTGGAGGTGGCATTTGTTTCCTTTTAAAGTAGACATTTAATCATATATTGTCTTTTTTAAAGCTGTCTCTCGATGTTATTATAATGAAAGACATATGGCAGAGAGTAATAGGAGAAAATATCCTAATTCAAAGCAGCAGAAATTAAAAGCTAAATTGAGGGCATTTTCAAATGAAGTCAAAACAAATTCCAGTTAATTTTATCGAATGTATTTCATAAGCCTGGTAACATATCTATAGTTATTGTTATATATCCCTTTGTTATAAAAATTTCGTCATTTTGGCAAAAAGAGATTTGGAACCTACAACAATTCCTACAATTCCATTGCATACATTTATTTATAAGATTTATTATTCCATTAGATAAGAATAGTGTCCCACCTTCAAATCGACGTGCTAAAATAAATTACCTAAATATATTTCTATATCGATGACTATTCGAAGATAATTTTTCCACAGAAGACCATTTGAAGATCCTCGATCTACCAAAGACTATTAGAAGCTCTTCTGGACGCAGAAAAGTTACGTAAAGGTCTTCTAGATAAATGGGACCTCCAGATTATCATATAGTTTTAGGAGACCACCAATAGGTTTAAGTCGCGATATTTCGTTGTTTTTTCGAGCTTCTGATGGTCTTGGGTAGAAAGAAGATCCTCAATTTGTCTTCTATGGAAAAATTATTTACCAATAGTTTTCTGTATCGGAATATATTCAGCTGGTAAGCTTTCAATATTCCCTATTGGGAAACCTTCAGGCGGTCTTCTTAAGCTAGAAAATTTTAAGGTTGTTTTCTGTATAGGGGACATTTAGAGGGATTTCTGTAGTGAGGGGAACATTTATTTACACATGGCCTTTAAATTGCTTTAATTATAAAGGGCTATCAGACAGAGGAATTTATTCTGATATTCTTCTAAGGATATTGCTTATGTAATTTTTTGTCATAGGCTTTAGTATCCATTAAGATCTTCAAAATTTAAAAACAATTCTTGTGAATAATGTCGTTAAAATCATCAAATTATTGAATATATATTATACCGTTATATGGGGGCCCTAGGAAGACCTGAACTTTCAATTCTCTGTCACAGTACTCTTACGAACCGCAAATACGAAATTTGAAACAATTCGTTAAAATCACCAAAATACCGAATATAGGGAGGTACCCTTGTATGGGGGCTATACGAAGACTTGAACCTACACAGGAAATTTTCTGTCACAGACTGTAGTAGGAACTTGAAATTCAAAATTTGAAACAATTCCGGTGAATAATATCTCTGAAATCACCAAAATACCGAATGTAGGGAGGTACCGTTTTATGGGGATTATACCAAAATGTGAACCTATATAGCTCATTTTCAATACAAAAAGTCCTGCACACCAAACACAAATCTGAGTAATTTTTGTTTGGGAAGCTAGAGTGATGGTTCGGAACCTAGAGTGATTTTCAATGACAAAGAGACAGACGGGCGGACATCGTTAAATCAACATAGAATTTTGTGCTGATCAAGAATATATATAATATATATGATCAAGGTGCATTTTTCTTCTTCTTTTTAGGATGCAGGGAATACAAAAAATAGTTTCAAATTGCCCCACTGTGTTACTCTCAAACCCAAACCCTTTAGGTTGCAGGCCATTTATTTCCTAAAGAAACATTGGATACAGGCGTGGGCAATTTATATTTCCTCTTGAAAAAGGCTAGCATAAAATAGCTACTTTCCCTAAGGATTGAAATAAAAAAAAACCGAAAACCAAAATAAGAGAACCTCGAGACTTTGTCATCATACAAAAACAAAAGCTATAGAAAATTCCCTTTAATAACACAAACTTATTGAATAAAAAAAAATAAAAACAACAACAAAAGCCACACTCACCCGAAACACTAGACTCGAACTGGTAAACGTTGGCCGATTGTCATTCAAATTTAACACCTCAACACGCAGCAAACGTATCGATTGTTTTGGCGGATTGCCACCGTCCGTCGCCGCTACGGCCAAACGATAGATGCTACGCTCCTCGTGATCCAACACGACCAACGTGCGAATGACACCCGTGTTGGCGTCTATGCTAAACAGACCAAAGCCATCCGAATCACGACCTTTTAATATCGAATAAGTGATCGATGCATTCTGGCCATTATCACGATCGACGGCACGTATGCGAACCACCTCAGTGCCGGGCGGTTGTTCTTCGCGCACGCTGACCACATCCTCTTGCGGATCGACAATTTTCGGTTGATTGTCATTGACATCGGTTACATGGACTTTGACAGTAACGCGTGAACTGCGATACGGTGTACCTTGGTCGCGAGCCTCGGCAACCAATTCATAGACAGCGGCGACTTCACGATCCAGCGGTTCGCGAGTGGTTATTTCACCTGGAAAGGGAGAAGAGAAGGAAGAGAAGAAAAATGTTAGAGAGGATGTAACAAATGATGTATTGATGACGGTTGCTTGTTGAGAAGAAAATAAATAGTCGGATGATTTGTTGGCGTAATTAATTTCAATAAATTACGAAAGCATATGTTTTTAACACCTACATTAAATAATAAAATTTTATAAAATAAATAAACGAATATCAATTTCAAATATCAGCATAAATTTGTATAACTTGATATCGATAATCAGATTTTGACTACAAGCGATTATTAGGCATACTTCCATTAAAAAAAAATCTTTGGTAAATCTAAGCTTAACATTTTTCATGTCTAATCCATATTTCCAACAGTTGTGCCACTGATCGATTGGAGCACCTCTTGAACAATTTTTCAATTTTGGGAAAAAATGATATTTTAAAAGGTCTGCAAATTTAAATGTGCGATGTTTCAACAGGTGCCTATTACATCCCTCTGGTTTCCTTGTTAAAAGGTTCAGAAACTTTTCCCATCCAACGTTTTCCCATAGCAACCTGAATACAGTACCCCCTTCATGTAGTTTTGTAAGGTAAGTCGGTTTTTTCCGACAGATGTGTACCTCCAGACTAGAGATATGATTATTCAGATTATTGACCCTTTATGGTGGAGTTGGACAATATTGAAGCAGTTGGACAATATTGACCAATTCGTATCTGACCTAAGAATGATAAAATATTACAACGTGTCAGATTTTGATTATATCGACTACTTCCTATACTTCATATGGAATACAGGGTGAGATAAAAAACTGCAACAAAGTCAAGCGCCATAATTTTTACATTTTATTGAATGAAAGTAAAAAGTTTCGGAAATATCATCAAATTTTAGAATAAGTTTAGATTTGTTCGAATGGGTCACCTTTGACACGAATTATGGCCCTAAAACGGCCAATGAAATCGTCACACGCTGCCCGAATGTTGTTCTGCGGTATTTTGGCCCATTCCCGGCGAAGCGCTTGCTTGAGGTGATCGACATTTTGGTATTTTTTGGTGCCAACCTTGCTTTCTAAAATACTTCGGACACAATAGTCCAACGGATTGGTATCCGGAGATTTTGGTGGCCTTTGTGCGCTGAAAATTAAGCGAGGAACCTCATTTTGTAACCATTCTTGGGTGGCGTGCTGAGTGCGATAGTGCTGAGTCCTATTGGAATGTCTAAAGTCTGCGGCCCAAATGTTTGCGTGTCAAAGGCTTTAATACACCCTCGAGAATATTTACGCGATAATATTTGGCATTTATTCTGATGCCACTGTCGATTAATACGAGCGGAGAGCGACCATCGGCTGTTTTGAGGACCCACACCATCACCATCACCATGGCGCTTGAGTTCTGATGGCCAACCGAAGGTTCACATTTTCAGCTGACCTCTTTGGCAAGTAAACACGATCATTTTGTATGCCTTTGTTTACAAACTGTTGGACAACGAATGTTTTCTCATCGGAAAAAAAAACTAAAATCGATAGTTGAACACTTTAGGCCAAACGAAGCAACTCTTTAGGTCTTTTGAGTCTATTTTCTTTCTGTTGCGGTGTAAGTTCTTGCACTTTTTGGAATATCAAAGCTTTACCACGAGCTTATTTTTCAATATTTGCCAAATGGAATATTGCGATATGTTCAGCTCACGAGCCATTTTCCGGCCACTGCGACACGCGTTTCGATCAAGTCGCTTCTTTACTTTTCGAACCATATCTGCTTATGTTGCTGATTTCTTCCGCCCATTTCCTTGACGACGGGCTACGGTAACGAGCGATGGTACGAGACACAAAAGATTTATTCACATTTAAATGCTGGAGTGCTCTAACGATAGCCACTTGTGGGTTTCCAGCCAAATATAAAGAAATCACACAATCACGATTGAATTCCATCACGAATAACTTTTTTTCTGGAAAATTCTCACCAAAATGCTTTTGTACGCTTGTAAACAATATAATGAGCTGTTACTGGAATAATTTTAACAGCTGTCGGACGAGTGGTTTAGAAATGACAGCAGTCTGAATTTGGTTGCAGTATTTTCATCTCACCATGTATGTGGCAAAAATCATCAAAATATCGAATACCGGAGGTGAGGTCTGTACAAAAACATGGACCTAATACATTCAATGTTTCGCCACCGGAGCTTGAACCTATTTCGAACTACAAATACCAATTTTTAGACAAATTTCTAAAAAATGTGTCAAAAATCGTCAAACACTGAATATCGGGAGGGAACGTGAACCTATACATAGAATGATTCGCCACCGGAACTTGAACCTATTTCGAACTACAAATACCAATTTTTAGACAAATCCGTAGAAAAATGTGGGACAAATCACCAAAATACCGAATATTGGAAGGTACCGTTGTATTGGGGGCTATAGAAAAACGTGGACCTACACATACAATGTTTCACCACCGGAGCTAGAACCCATTATGACCTATAAATACCAATTTTTTGACAAATCCGTGAAAAGTGAGGCAAATATCTTCAATATAATGAATATCCAGAGATACTATTAGGTGGGGCTATACAAAAATGTGGATCTATAAGTACTATGTTCCGCCACAGTATCTAGAACCCATTATGACCTACTATTACCAATTTTTGTACAAATCCGCCATCAAAACACTGAATATCTGCAGGTACCATTATATGGCGGCTATACTAAAACGTGGACTTATACAAACAATTTTTCACCAGCGGAGTCAATTTTTTGACAAATCCGTGAAAAAATGAGGCAAAACTCACTGAATCCGAATATTCAGTACGTTATGTGGGGCTATATAAAAACGTGGACCTATACATACTATGTTCCGCCACAGTAGACCTACAAATACCAATTTTTGGACAAATCGGTCTCAAAACACCGTTATATGGCGGATATACTCAAACGTGGACAGATATATCTTATTCTCAATTCCAACCATCCTACATACAATACAAGTTGTTCTGTCAAATTTTGAAACTCAACGTCAAATAATGTGGGCTGTATCGTAATTTCAACCGACAGAAAGACACTGTTAAATCGACTTAGAATTGTAAGCTGATTATGAATATACACAGGGTTGCCCATATTCGTCGGACCCATCTAGCAACGCCATAACTTTTGACAGAGGTGTCACATCGCTTAATGACATACCGCGTTTGAAGCGTCAGTCCAAGCAGATTTTTACCATGAACCAATACACGCCAATAGTTGAAATTTACAAGAAGTCAATTGTGAAAACTCAACGCGCTTTTAAAACATTGAAAAATGTGAGAAGTGCGCCTTCTAAGAACACCATTAAGCGTTTATACGAAAAATTTTCGACTGGTGAGGCTCTTTCTAAACCGAAGAGGCCATATAAAAGTCGACCAAGGCGATCGGCCGAGAATATCGCTGCCGTACGAGCCAGTGTTGAGAGGTCCCCAAGAACATCCCAAAAACGCCGTTCTCAGCAGTTGGGCATGGCTCGGTCCACTTTACAACGGATTATTCGAATTGATTTGCATTTTCATTCATTTCATTTTGCATTCAATTGACGCAAAGAATGTTGCCTGCAGACAAGCCTCGTCGATTGGAATGGGCCCAAAAGTCCGTCGAATATGGGCAACCCTGTACTATGTTCCGCCATAGTACCAATTTTTGTACAAATCCGTCATCAAAACACCGAATATCTGAAGGTACCGTTATATGGCGGCTATACTAAAACGTGGACTGATATATCTTATTTTCAATACCAACCATCCTAGACACAATACAAATTGTTCTGTCAAATTGAAGCTCTACGTTAAATAATGTGGGCTGTATCGTGATTTCAACAGACAGGAAGGCACCGCTAAATCGACTTAGAATTTTATGCTGATAATAAATATATATGCTATATTGTGTATACGACGAATATTTAGGGATGTTACAAACGGATTGACAAAGTAAATGTACCCTCCTTTTCAAGGTATAAAAGTATTCCATATTTACAACGGTATATTACACAGATGTTTATTAAATTACCAAATAAAACTGAAAAAAAATTCCGCAAAATACAAAAAAAAAAGACATCAAAGCCAATTTCTTCAACAGTCATTTCGTTTTTGCAGACATTGTTTCAATCGCTTCCTATAACTGCGGCATAATAAATGAATGCCGCCTTGGCACACAACCCGTTTTCTAGGCACATGCTGCCGCTTGCAATGCAAAAAATTATATCTACATGCAACACGACACACACACACACTTACTCACCGCACCAGCCAAAGATTTCTATCTAATGAATCTATAACATATTGCTCCAGTTTCCATCGGCTAATGTATGCTGAAACCATTCATCAATATTTTGCCTGCTTTCTGGCTTTCTTTCTGGGCGATTTTTTTTCGACTCTGCCATTAACCATGGCCTGCTTCGCTCTCCTCTGACAGTGTGTGTGTGTGTTCAGCCAATGATCAGCTACAAAGATTGCCCCGTTTGCGGTGAAGGATATCATTTGAAAGCAAAAGATTTTAATCATTTCAAATCAATCTTCAGGAGATTCGTTTCTAGTTATTGTTGCTGTTGTGAGCGGTTTGTGTGTGGTGCAACGACTGGAACCATACAATGTCATTAACATAAATTGTGTGGATTTAAATAAAATACCACAAAATAAACATTTTATCATTCGCAGATGTAGAGAAGTAGAGGAAAACCCCATGGAAGGTGACTTGGTGGATGGATGAAAAGAAAGAAGGAATCATCAAATCAATTGAGTCAACTTCAGATTTTATTTCTTTGAACTTGTTTTGTGGCAAGCGGAGTACTGCAAGTAGTTTACTGGCAATTCAGGCCTTCATCTCTCATCGCAACTAGCTTCCATCCTCCCCTCTTGGTAATTTGGATTCTGGAGGCTGCTTACAGTGGCCCCTAAATGTCAATTGCCAAGACATCGAATTGACGGATGAGTTGACATTGCCTGGAACTGCTGTTCTAGTTGCAACACACACACACATACTTATCAAATGGTTTTGTGTAGAGTTC